CGGCTCCTCGCACGCTGGTGAACCAGGGCTCAGTCTATACTGGCCTTCGCGCGCACATCCTCATTGCGCTCGTGCTCGCGCTGAGCGCGCTCCCGAGCGACGAGCGCCTCAAGTGAATCGTAACCACGCAGCCTCGCGGCACGGGCGGCGTGTAAAGCCGGAGATGCGCCGCAACCAGGAGCCCTTCTCCACGCAGTCCTCGGCCGCCCCCAGAGACGGATCCGTCCCCCCAGCAAGAGGCGAAGGGCCCCAGGCAGCTCGTCATTCCTGGGGCGTCCACGAAGCATGCCCTTCGGGTGCCCTCCCCAAGCTGCGCCCAGGAAGCAGGGCCTCTCTGAGGCCGTGACCTGTGGATATTGAGGCCTGGGCGCTCCGGTCCCAGACAAGGGGGCACGAGGCCACCTCGCGATGCCTGGTGCACCGAGGCTCCACGCAGTCCGCAAAACAGAATGCCTGACAGAGCCTGGCCCTCGAACTTGGCCTCGGAGCTGCCATCCCCCTCCTCCTCCTGCGCACCTCGTACTGCGTCTCGACGGCCTTCTCCTTGGCCTCGGAGCTGCCATCGAACTTTCGAGACGGGGCCGCGGAGAAGAGCTCCGTCTTGTAGCGGTTGTCCCTGGCGCGGAGCAAGGAGGAAGAGATAGAGAGAGAGGGAACAAACAACAACATAAGGAGGTATTACCATACGCACCTCTCCGAGGCAGTAGAGCTCAGAAAGCATTCATGGAAGCCGTTCGCGTCTTTTTTGTTCCGATTCGCGAGGGGCATCATCGACACTCTGAGCATCAGATGCACCCCTCACGAAGATGGCGACGTCATGACCCACAAGCACCACTGTGTATCCCCGAGCAGTGCCTGCACTTAGGGATTCTTACTTCCCCTCTGCCCGTACGCGGCCCCAGCGGCCTCGTTCCCGTTCGCCCCGCCCCCTTTTTCCAGATAGAAGGCCCGCTTTTGCTGCCCCTGCGGCCCCGTATTCCCGCCCATCGCCGCTGCCCCGTGGCACCCCCCGCTTCTCCGACTGCATGGCGATCGAGTGCTGCGTTGTTTTGCGCTGCTCCGTGCTGCTTTTTGCATTGGTTCGCACCGCGTACATGGCACGAAGCAGGCTGCCCCGCATGGATTCCACCACCTGGACTGCATCGCAGATGCAGCAGGAAGTCGCTGCTTGGGGCCCACGCTGGCAAGTGTTACCTTTAGCCTGAAGAACAAGCACCACATGGTTTTCAGTGAGTTTGCACATGATCGACTTCGCGTGGTAAATCCTCGCAACATTGAGACCCGACGTACTTAAAGGCGCCCTCATATAACCCGAAACGGCCATTTCACTAGGAACGTCCTCCAAACATTGACTTCGGAGCTCCTTTTCAACTGCGATCGCAAAGAGTGGAAACCCCTCTTGCGCCGCACTCATCGCAAGGTGCGGCAAGCCCGTCTTTGTTCGACAACGCCCCGGCTATTACACCTCACTCCCCACGGGCATCTGGTGATAACTCACCATCCCCCTTCTTTCCTATGTCCTCTGCTTCTCCATCTACTAATTCCGTCATCTCCTCAACCGGTTTGGCTTCAGAATCCTCATCTTCTTCACCAGCTGCGAGGCTAGCGTGCTGCAGCTTTTTTTGTAGAAGCCTGGGCAGGCACATGCCATTCGTATATATATAGATATATATATACACGCCCTGTAAATCCATGTGTATATGACAGTATACTATCAATGTGTAAGTGTGTAATATGTATATATGCTCGTATGTCAGGAACGGGAGATACATAGAGAGAGAGAGTGAGAGAGAGAGAGAGATGAAGAGAGGAACAGAGATAGAGAACAGGCACAGAGAGAGGGAGTGTGCGGGGGGAGATAGAGAGACGCTAGGAGGGAGGGAGGGAGGGAGTGCATGAACAAACACAGCTACGTGTGTACAGTTAGTAACATATACAGTTATTATAGATACAGGGGGAGAGAGAGAGAGAGAGCGATAATCTACATACATAACGAGAGAACTGAAACTTAACAATAGAGAGAGAGAGGAGAGAGAGAGAGAGAGAGAGAAAAAGAGAAAGGGAGAGAGAAAGAGAGAGACAGAGACATATAGAGAAAAGCGAGAGAGAGAGAGGACAATCCAGAGAGAGAGAGGGGGAGAGAGAGAGAGAGAGAGAGAACACATGGCCCTATAGCCCTAGGCCCTATAGCGCCATAGCCTTATAACCCTATCGCCCCCTGGTCCTGGAGCCCTATATCCCTATAGACCAGTAGCCCTATAGCTCCATAGCCTCATAGCCCTATAGCTCTATCGCCCTAGAGCCCTATAGCTCTATAGCCCTATAGCCCTATAGCCTTGTAGCCCTACAGCCCTATAGCCCTATAGCCCTATAGCTCCATAGCCCGATAGCCCTATAGCCCAATAACCCAATAGCTCTATAGCCCTATAGGCCTATATCCCTATATACCTATAACCCTATAGCCGTGTAGCCGTATAGCCCTATAGCCATATAGCCCTGTAGCCGTATAGCTCTATACGCCTATATCCCTATAGCCCCAAAGCCCTATATCCCTATAGCCCTATGGTCCTAGAACCCTGTAGTCCCATAGCCCTATAGACTCATGGCCCTATGGCCCTATGGCCCTATAGCCCCATAGCCCCATAGCCCTATAGCTTGCAGCCCTATAGCCAAGTGGCCCTATAGCCCTATATACCTATAGCCCTATGGCCCTATAGCCATATAGCCCCATTGCCCTATAGCCCTATCGCCCTACAGCCCAATAGCCCCATAGGCCTAAAAAGACTTTGGTTGGGGCTTTCCTCCGGTATCATCTACACCTATGACAGGGAAGGGAGAGATAGAGAGAGAGGGAAATAGAGAAAGAGAGAGAGAGAGAGAGAAAAAAGAGAGAGAGAGAGAGGGAGAGAGAGATGAAGAGAGGAACATAAATATAGAGAAGAAAGACAGAGAGAGGGAGAGTGAGGGGGGAGATAGAGAGACGGAACGAGGGAGGGAAGGAGGGAGTGCATAAACACACACAGCTATATGTGTATATTCATACATACATACATTACGTAAAGAAAGAGAGAGAGAGAGCGAGAGCGATAATCAATAGAAATAACGAAAGAACGGACACATGACACTAGAGAGAGAGACAGAGAGGGAGAGAGAGAGAGACGGATAGGGCAAAGGGATAGAGAGAGAGAGAACTAACAGAGAGAGCGAGAGGAAGAGGGAGAGAAAGAGACCATTCATAGCCCTATAGCCCTATAGCCCTATAGCCTTATAACCCTATAGCTCCGTAGCCCAATAGCCCTATAGCCCTGTAGGCCAATAGCCCAATAGCCCTAGCGCCCTGGAGCCCTATAGCTCTATAGCCCTATAGGCGAATAGCAAAATAGCCCTAGCGCACTGGAGCCCTATAGCCCTATAGCCCTAAAGCCCTATAGCCCAATAGCCCTATGGTCCTGTAGCCCAATAGCCCTATAGCCCTATAGTTCTATAGCCCTATAGCCCTATAGCCGAATAGCTCTATCGCCCTATCGCCCTGAAGCCCTATAGCTCTATAGCCTTATAGCCCTAAAGCCCTATAGCCCTAGAGCACAATAGCCCTATAGCCCCGTAGTCCTGTAGCCCAATAGCCCGAGAGCCCTATAGCCTTATAGCCCTACAGCCCGATAGCCCTATATGCCTACATGCCTATAGCCCTATAGCCCCATAGCCCTATATCCCTACAGCCCTATATCCTTATGGTCCTATAGCCCTATATCCCTATAGCCTTGCCTATAGGCCTATAGCCCCATAGCCTCATAGCCCTATCGCTCACAGCCCTATAGCCCTATGGCCCTATATCCCTGTGGACCTATAGCCCGATGGCCCTATGGCCCTACAGCCCCATCGCCATATAGCCCTAACATGACGTTGGTCTGTTGTTTTCTCCGGTATCCTGTACACATATGGCAGGCCAGGGATATTATATATATAGAGAGAGAGCGAGAAAGAGAGAGATACCTATATATTTATAGAGAGAGATGAAGAGAGATATATAACAGAAACAAAGGGATGTAGCGTGAGGGGGGAGACAGAGAGACGGAAGTAGGGAGGGAGGGAGTGCATAATCACACACAGCTATATATGTATATTCAGTAGTATACACATATGAACATGTCTATGTATATATTGTATATATAGAAAGAGAGAGAGAGAGAGAGCGAGAAAGAGAGAGAGAGAGAAAGAGAAATAGAGAGAGAGAGAAAGAGAGAGGGAGAGAGAGAGAGAGAGCGATCGTCAGACTGAGCAACGAGAGAACGGACACATAACAATATAAAGAGACAGAGGGGGAACTACATATACATCTATTTATAAAATGAGAGACATATCAAGAGATAGAGGGAGAGAGAGAGAGAGAGACAGCACAAAAGAGAGAGAGAGAGAGAGAGATAGAGAGAGAAAGAGAGAGAGAAACAAAAAGAGAAGGGGATGTGAGGGGGAAGGACAGGGGAGGATAACGGAATGAAGAGGAGGAGGGTGGAGAAAGAGAGGCATAGGACGAGGGAGGGGTGATAGGAAGGGAGGCGGTGGGGAGAGAAGGAAGCAGGGGCCTGGAGAGTGGAGAGCGGAGAACATATCGCAAACATTCGGACACGGGTGTCTGGGTCCAGCGGGTATTATCGCCGCATGGACCGCCCTTACAATTGCAGGAGGCCCCGCATGTAAATGGCAGGGGTGGCGAAAACCTCCCCCTGGCGCGATCGAGAAAGGGGCCCCGACTGGCAAAGCTGGCAGTTCTGGCGATCAGTGTGTGGCAGACCCCGTCGGCACACCTGAATTTGAAAGGAGACTCTGGCTTTTAGCACGCTTTGGCACGCGCGCCTCGAAACCCTGTGAAACGAAGGCGCCGCCTTGGGGCACCTCTCATCGGCGGCTGAGTCCCAAGTCAACGAGGCATGTTGCCAGGAGCTCTCGCAAGGGACGATGTGTGAAAGGAAGGAGGTAGCTAGCACTGGTGCGCCAGCGGTGAACAGCAAGTCGCGCCTGGAGACGCTGCTGGGCTGGCCCCAGTAAGGGCAGGCCTGCGGAAGGCCTGTATACATATGTATACAAACACAAAAAAACTGTCGAGAAGGGGCCTGGACTGCCCCTGGATGTTGCTCAGCGTGACTGCGAGGCTGGAGGCGCGTTGCTGCGATGCTCGCGGTGAGCGCGGCTTCGCAATCCTGCGAGGGCTGTGGCCTGGCCGAAGCGAGGCGCTTCGTAAGGGCACTCCTCTGGTAGGTGCGCTGCACTGGGGTCGATCGGGCACCTACACCCTCGCCGGTCGTGCAAAGGCCTTTGGTCCCCATTCCCTGGTGGGGCAGGGGATTTGCCCGGTGCCAGGACATGCTGCGTTGGGCGGCTGGGTGCGCAGGCAGCACTGGCCAGCCCAGCGGGCTGAGGCGACGGCGCTGGCCCCTCGGGCGCAGTCCGCGGCCCCTCGCCTACCGCGCGCAGATCCTCTCCCAGGCGCGTGGCGCTGCTGGCGCAGATGTGCCCTGGAGCGTGGTTGTCTGTGTCGGGGGGGACGGTCGGGTGCGCGTTGCTTCTCGCGTGGTCCATCCCAGTGTTTTCTGCGTGGGTCGCCGGGGACTGCTTGCG